AATCATTATAATAAAATAACATGCAGATACACCATTATACTGAAAAGTGTACGCTTGGAATATACTTTAACTACACGTATGCATGTACGTAATTTATGTATATGTAGATACATACATATATGTTTCCACCATAACTCATATGCNACAAACGCGAAAAATATCTCCCATACAACGTCGTTGAAAATTTTTCGCGAAAAGTTTATCGCGATAAGCTGTTGAGAGTGATCGCGAATGGATTATTTGCATCGTTTTTCTTATTTATGAGAGGCCGACATCGGCAATGCTCGGACTTCTCATATTCGAGTGAGAGGAAATTTCTTTGCTTTTTTCGATCGCGAATGAAAAGCAGCGAAAATTTTTTTGTCGATCGCATTCCGAATGTGAGAGATGATAAATTTGTTTGCATTTTTCACTCGCGATAAAAGAATGCAAAAATGGACTTGGAATATTATCGATCGCGAACGTGAGAGAATGTGAGTGAGAATTTCCGAACCCTGACCATAAGTAATTGTCAGCAGCTTGTACGCAGCGAGCTCCTCCTCAGGCGAACACCTCTACAATATTGCTTGATAATTTGTATCGTCACTAGCAACCCATGCCTGCCTAAACATTTTGTTCACATCTGCCGTAAGCGCAAATTTGTAGCAGCGAAAACGCAAAACAATTGACATTAAGTCGTCTTGAATGACAGGCCCTTTCATCATCGTGTCGTTGAGAGACAATCCAGTGCTCGTTCTTGCGCTGCAATCAAACAACCCGCGAAGCTTTGTACTCGTGGAATCTGGTCGTAGTACTCATTGATGAGGAGCAAAATACTTAAGCTTGTCTTTATCAGCTGCTCCAACCTTTACCATATGCCCAGTTCTTATGTACTCATCAAGAAATTCTATGTACGCTAGCTTTGTTACGACATCTTTGCTCAGTCATCGTTCTAAGGCCGAAAACATAGTGGAGCGGCGAGCAAAGAACATCGAGCAAAGCGTCGATTTCAAACGCGTATGTTTCAATGGGAGAGCGCATAGTGAAGAGCAAAGCGTATATACACTTTTTAATTGTAGCTTTGCTCTATGATACGTCTTCGCTTTGCTCGCAGCTCCACTATGTTTTGACCCTAAGGCTAAAAAAACGTCGCTCAGTTGTTCGAAAGGAGTCACCCAATCTAGTAACATTCTCCTTAAATGGGATTTTAACTATAAATCTACCGTCGCTGTCTCTTTTTACCGATTGCTGAAATAAGCGCTCGCATTCTGTTTCTTCTTCAGTAAAAAATTTATTTTTTATTGGCACATTTTCTACTTCCCAAAAGCGTTCAACTAACATATTTAGGTGATCATACTTCTCTCTTGTTTCTATTGCAAAACTTTCCGCGATAATGTTTACTGCTTTCTTGATCAATGGTGCTGCCCGATACCACCCACCCAAACACCGTTTTCTGCAACCTTGGCAGTCCAGTTCCAATCTTGATTTGCCCAATTGAAAGCAATTCTAAAACCACTTCGGCACCCAACAATACGTCAACGCGTGTCTGCCATTTCAATATTACTTGGAATTTTCCATTTAGAGACATCGATGTATCGGTTTGGTTTTCGCCCAGTTATTTTTTGTAAGATATGAAAATTTATTGACGTCTCATAACCATTTAGACGCGACTTGATTGTTGCTTGCACCCGCTTGGATGCAGTTGTTGACATGCCGTCTATACCGCTCACCTCTAAAGCACTTGACACCCTTGGAAGCCTTAGCATTTGATCTAAATGATCACACACTAGATGTACTTGTGAGGCCGAATATGGCCCGCGCCTGATGATAATTGCCACTAGCATCCTTTTGTAAAATCACTACCGTTTCTAACAAAACTTCTATTGCCGTGGAAGTTTTCCAACTTGTGCACAATGCACTACTTTCGCTTGCGCCCGCTACGTGCTGTTCTTTTGCGTTCGCCCCGCTGCTACCAGTGGCCACGTCTACTTGCCTATGCAATAAATCGTGATGCGGTTGATTACATACAGAATATTTAGCTGCTAAACATTGCTTAAACCAGTGGCCTTTCTTCAAACATACAATGCAAAGCCTAGCGCCCCGCACCACCGAATATCGCTCGCTTGGAGTCATACGCGTAAATTTGGGGCAATTCAATACATTGTGGTCGTCTTTGCGGCACACCCCACAATTTACACGCTCTACTGCCAGTGATGCTGTCCTTCGCGATTTCATGTGTTTCGATTTAAAATCCTTGCTGATTTCTTTCGTGACATTGTGTCTAACCTCCATGCGATCTGTTTTGACTTCTCGAGCCTCCAACGTTTGACATCTTCTAGCTAACACTGCCGAGCACTCTACGCACGACGCTAGTTTCGTATAATCTTCTTCCGCTTCTTCCCACTTTGCTTGGGACTCGGAATCTAACTTTTCCATTACAAGAAAAATTATAAGAGCATTTGCAATATTTTCATACGTTCCCAGAGACAGCATAGCATTTAAACGAGCATTTGTTGTATCAATAACCTTTCGAAGGTGTTCTGCAGAGGCTTTTGCAGCTCTTAGTAATTCCAATAGTGCACTAATATGCTCCTCAAATATCAGGTTTTTCTTGTCAAAACAGTCTTTTAATCGCTGCAACGCTTTGGGGTAATTTTTCTCCGTTTCATCGAAGTCTGCAATAGCTGCCAGTGGTCGTGCACCTAAACTCTCCTTTAAGATGAGAAACCGTTCACAATCATCCAAGCTTTCACCATGGTGTACCATTTTCGTGAACAGAGCTATAAATTTTGGAAACTCCGCATATTTGCCGTCGAATTTCGGTAACTTAATTTCTCGTCGCAAGCGTGGTGTTGCTGTTACCATTGTGGTGTTGTTTGACAAA